TATTAGATAATTTTGCATTGACAAAAATGGGCCTCTTATAGGCTTCATCCCCTGAGTTAAACTCCTCTAAGGGATCCTGCACATCAGCTCTAAGTTCATCTAACTTAGCAGGTGCTGCCTGCAAATGTTCCAATTGGACTTCTCTATAACTAAGAGGGCTTTTGTCAATCACACATTCAACCCATGAACATAGAGATAAAATTCTAGGGCTGACCTTATTTGCCAAAAAGAAACAAAACAATCTAAAGAAAGTAGACCTAATTGTACCAATGTCCCCATCATCGACCACTTTATTCATCATTCAACCATCTTTTTCAGCCACCAATTTAATGATTGGTTCACCCTGCCTCTTTTGCATCAGGCTGGGTTTGGCCAAGTCTTGGCCAATCTGTCGAAATCCCTCGTGTATGTAGGCTTGAAACTCTTCAGGAGTAATGCCCCTTCCTTGTGTCTTCAGCTCTTCAGAAACCACCTCCGCTGGTCCCAGGCTTTCTTCATATAGTGCCGCCTCAATGTTATGAACATCTACTATGAAGGGATTAGTATCAGCCCAGTAAACCTCCATGCCAACATGTGGCTTGCTCCCTTCTTGGCGGGTTAGGAAGATGAGGGCTTGATGTAATGAGGATGGTACACACCCATTCCGATGGATCTAGTCTCTTCCCAGCAATAGATTATAGGTGGAATCGACCACGAAGAAAGGTATGCCCATGGCCCTTGCTCCAATTTGCAATTTCAAGACTATTACTCCTTTGGCCTCGGACGAGCCTCATGCAAAGTTACTAATTGAGATGTTAGTAGGTATTAAATCATCCACTGTTTTTCCTAACATCCTTAGAGTGTTAGAGAGGATGTTAATGATGGCCCTATTATCGACCAAAACCCTATCGACAGGCACTCCATCCAAGTGTACTTGCACATATAGAGGTTTTAGATGCTTAATCAATTCCTCCCTAGGCTTTTGCAGCACTACTTGGTCTCCATTGACAGACTTGACTACTTCGATTGTCCACACGGATTGTTGTTTTGGCCTTCGTTTCTGCTATCTGGGCCACTGCTTCTGTGAAGTCTTTCACATCACGAAGTGTGTTGGTTGGTCTAGCCTGAAAAGTCTTAAGAATGGCCTTCACCACATTACAATCCGTGAGGGGAAAACTACCAAACTGGATGGCCGTTTTCTCTCCAAAATCCCTAGAACTCTCTGACTTAACCTCATCTTTTTCCATGTCGATAGGCCCTGTCATCTTGACCTCTGTGGTCACCTCTTGGCTACCCTTCATGGCCTCATCGTCAACTTGTAATTCCTTCTCTAATTCTCTAATTCTCTATTTGAGCAAAGCCTCCTCCGTGATGGGTATGGGTTCCTCACATGCCATCAACGACTTGGGAACCTCCTTGATGCCGTTCCTTGGTGTTAATACTACCGCATTTTTTGGTGCATAGGTTTCATTATCCCTCTTTTCTCTGGACCAAGTTAGGTTCTGTGCCCTTGGTGGTTTCAAGCCCTGGTTCTCCAATCTGGACATCATTGCATGGAACTTCCTCTGCTCCCTTCTTTTTTGTGTTCTGGTTTCAACCATAGGTCTCCAACCTCCCCTCGAAAACTTTGGATGCACTACCCCCTGCGAACCAAAATGCGGTTGCACAGGTGGTCTGATCATTCTCGGCTGCTCCAGCCTTGACTCCCTATGTTGCATGTGTTCTACTAGGCCACTGTATGGCCTGGCAACCATGCCTTCCTTTGACCTTTTTTTCAGGCCATGTGAATATGTCCTAGCCTTTTGATTGTAGGACCTCTGAGCCCTAAAACTTCTTGGTTGGCTATTTTGATTCTGCTGTTTGTGCTGCCTCAAATATGCTTTGACTACACTAGCCCCTTCCAAGCAAGAATTCATTGGCATCCCTTGATAAGAAAGGGCCCATCTTGCTCTCCATAATCTGCTGTCTTAGTTGTATGAACTCCTGGGTCTACCCCGTCATATAGCAATTCTGCACCATTGAAAATTTACTAGTCATCTTGGCCCATGGTGTTAAATCTTAGGCCACAATCCTTCATTTCCTTCTGTACTTTGTCAGCCACAATAGCTTGTGCTTTTTCTCTCAATCCCACACCTGAAACATACAAAGTGGTCCTGATGGACCATTGGCTTTTTCCTTTAGCCAGAAGTTCCTTCTCTCTAACTCATTCAGTAGCACTCTTGGGTTCCTGGTTTGATCACTCAAACTGATAGACACCATGTTTATGTCCACCACCTCTGGAAAAGGATTCCCATCGACGGCCATAACCCCTTTATCCTTCTCAACATATTTCAGCATCCCTTTTTGAATCAAGTCTTGCACATAGTTGCGAAAAGTTGCACAATTATTAGTTGAATGCCTGAATGAATTATGCATTTACAGTACTCTTTGCCAATCCTATCTTTTTATTTTGAGATGTTATGGCCTGGGGATAATGTTAAAATTTTTCCAGCTAAAAACTCATTGAACAAAGCATCTGCCTTTGATAAATCAAATGAGAACTGTCGATGGGTTATTGGCACATATTTCCTAGCTAGCTGAGTAGAAGGCACGTTTATTGGTTATTTTGCCTTTTTCAAGGCTTCACAAGTCATTGGTGTCTTGCCAATTACTTGAGCAATATCTATATCTATTTCTGTTTCCAGCTCCATGTCCCCTGGTAATATGTTCCTAGGGCAGTAGCCCTCCTTTGCTGCTCTTCCCTAAGGATGGACTCATAACTAGTTGCCCTAGATGAAAGTTCAAACAAATCTATAAATTCCATTCCTTCAAACTTCTTTCTTAACTCGAAGTCAAGGCCATTCTAGGCCAGCCTTATCACCTCTATTTCAAGCATTTAGACATGGCACCTATTTCTAGCCTTTTTGAACCTGTCGATGTATTGTTTTGCAGACTCCCCCTGCTTTTGCCTAAACTTGGTTAAATCCACCATACTAATGTCCGGCTCAGTCCTGTAAAATTGTGCATGGAACTTGTCTACTATGCCCTGCCATGTGGGTACTGAGTTTTTTGGCAGGTTAATGAACCATGTGAAGGCCACTTTTGATGATGAGTGTGGAAAGAGCCTCAGCTTCTGGTTATTTGAATTAGCCTCTCCACATTGCATGGTAAACCTTCCTATGTATTCTATGGTCGATTGTCTTTCTTTTTAGTGAATAAGGAGAATTCAGGCATTTTAAAGTTTCTGGGAAGAGGGGTTTCATCTACCCAATAAGGGTACGACTTTCCGAACATTGGCCTGTTAGGCCTCCTGAGGCCTGGGCCATATATTTCTTGAATTATTTTCATAATTTGATGTCTGTTGATCTGGGTTGGTTCGAAATTTGGCTCCTCATGAGAGGCACCATACCCCATCCCTTCATTTCTTTGTGGCTGAAAGTTTGATGCAGCAAATCCCTCATATAGCTGGAAGTGCTGCTGTCGAGGTGGGTGCATACCAACATCTTCCTCAAAATGTCAAGGAGGTGGTCCAGGTCCTTGTTTTGGCTCGTGATTTCTAAAACCTTGTTCTTGGTATACTTGCTGCCTAGGTCTTTGGTTGGTCCTTGGTCTTGGGTTATCATAGTTTGGTTGTCTAAACCTTTGGTCAGCAAAGTTGTACTGTCCTAGTCCTGGTCTGTCGACAGCGGGTTCCTCATATCTAGGGGCTCTAAATTGCCCCCCTCGCATAGGCCTCTAGTTAGCAAAGTTATATTGCCCTATTCTTGGTCTGTCAACGGCGGGTTTATCATACTCAGGGGTTCTCAACTGCCCCCTTGGCATAGGCCTGACCATGTCGTGCATTGGTTCTTCCTATTCCAAGGGCCAACTCTGCCCCTTTTGCTTTGGTCTATTATTCATTTCAAAGGATGGCTTCTAATGTGTCTTCCCTTCCAAGGCCTCTCTTTGAGCGGCAAGCCTAGAGGGACCAGATTGCTCTCCATAATTAATGTTAATTTTAGTTTCTTTATATGTCTGATTAGGGTTCATTTGAAACCTCTCTTGCTCCTCCTCTTGGAGAGTTGGAGGCCTATAAAAAGAGGCACTACTCTAGTGAATCCTACTTGCCTTAGGAGTTTGAAATTGTACCTTAGTTGCCTGTGCTTCCACTTTGGCTGGTGGTGGAGGACTAGGGGTAAGGCTGAACCCCCCAAGCATCCTGAGCTTGGCCCTCATACTTTTCGTGAGGTGTTCTGGTCTCACCTCAAAGGTATGGCCAAGCTAGGCAATCATTTCCTCCATCTGTTCAACCGCCAGGCCATGGTGATGGTCTCCATTGGTTGTGTCCTGACCATCTTTCAGTCCTACACCGTATCTGGCTGCCATTGATTGGCTATCCGCAATGACCTCCATGTCTTCCCCGAACTCAAGAAAGGCAGTAGGGACACCTGTTTCTTCAGCAGGCCACTTACTTGGTTCTCCAAAAAGGCCTGACTCGTCAACAATTTTCCTACTGGCGTCAGTAGTCTCAATTTTTTCAGTTTTCTTCTTCACCATTACTCCAAGTTAGAATGGTCCCACCGGGCGTGCCAATTTATGTTAGCAAAAATTCAGTTTAGGCCCAATCAACAGTGATTGAAGGACAGACTTAAACAGATTTTAAATAAACACAAAAAGATCAAACTTTGTGGTTGAGTTCTATCCCTTAAACAGATTAAGGACTTCCCTGGAGGTAATTAACTTCCTTTTATCCCCCTATTTTAGGAACTGTTTTTTGATTTCTTTCTAGATTCTCAGTTATCATCTTTCGTAGCCTTCTCTTTTCAGTCCTGCTTTATGCTACGTCAGCTATTTTAGCCATCCTTGCCATGTCATTGCTATGACTCGTCGATGGAAGATTCCTGAATTTTAATCAAATTTAAAATTTATTATTATCAGATTGTATATTTTAATTTTTATATTGTGATGGTGGTGGCATTGATAGTGGTGGTGGTGGTGGTGGTGGTGGTGATAGCGATATTAGTGGTAGTAAAATGATGGTGATACTTATGATGACCATGACAATGGTGATGAAGGTGGCGGCAGCGGTAGTCGCAGCGGCGGCAGCTACGGCTGCGGCTGCGGCAACGGCAACGGCAACAGTGGTGGTGGTGGTGGCAGCGGCGATGGCAGAGTGGTGGTAGCCGTAGCAGTGGTGGTGGTAGTAATAACGATGATGGTGGTGGTGGTGGCAGCAGTAGTGGTGGTAATGGTGGTTGTGAGGTTATAATAGTGTTTAAAAATTCAGTCAGAATTAGATAAGTTTCATATGATTTAAAATTTTCTTAAGTTTTAACCTACATTTTGAGACGTTTAAATTTTTAAGTGATATCAATTGTAATTATCAAATGGACTTAATTTATTATCAATTAATACATTCAATTTTAAGTATTGAATCAGATTATTAAACACAAGTCATCCAAAGATAAATAAGAGAGGCACATACCATGTGCACCATAATAATATATTCAAAATTAAGTTTTTTAATGCATATATTATTAGTGAGATTTGTCAAATATGTATACTCTTATACCGTTCCAAATTATTTAACTGACATAAAATTAAGAACCAAAAAATATATGTATTATTGGGTCGAATTTTTTTAGTTTTTCATCAATTAAAAGATTTTATCAAGTACTTTTAGTTTATGAAAAAAGAAAATTAATTTTTTTTGCATAAAAATTATATTATTTTTATGTTCTTTTTGGTATTGGACAAACAATTTAGGGACAATTCAAAAAAATCCCTAGATTTGAGTTTTTTAACAAAATAAATCCTAATTTTTAATTTTATCAATTTAAACCTTAATATTTAATTTTACCTTAAATCTAAACCATTAACCTATTTTTCATAAATAAAACTGATGGAAAAAGAGTATTTTAATCATAAACTCAATGTAGGTATATATATGAAATGCTTAAAATATTCTTTTTCATTGAGTTTAATGATTAAAAAAAAAAATTTAATCAATTTTACTTAACAAAAATAGACAAAGGGTTTAGATAGAGAGTTTGTCAAAAGTTTAGGGTTTAAATTGATAAAATTAAAAAATCATGGTTTATTTTGTTATAAGAGTCTAACTTTGAGGATCTTTTTGTAATTATCCCAACAATTTATAACGGAGATAGTATTTTTAAGGTAGATTACATTTATATACTATTTTTTAGGATAAATTACATTCACATTCCTTGAGATTAGGTGAAAATGCAGTGACCATCATATGTTTAATATAATTACACTGATCTCCTTTATTGTTTTAAGGGTAAATTACAAATACACCCCTTGAGGTTTGCTTAAAGTATAGATTACCCCCTGTAGTTTTGAAACTTACAAATACCCCCTTGTCAGAATTTTTTATTTAATAGAATTAACTAAAAAAATGAAATTCATAATTGCTCTCTAATACAATAATAAAATTACCTAAATTATTAATTGAAACATATTTTTAATATCATTAAAAATTATTAATTGACTTCATGATTTATTAATAAAAGGGGTAATTTGTTACGAAATTAGAAACCTCAAGGGCAGGAATGTAATTTTCAAAACCACAGGGGGTGATTTGTATTTTAATCAAACCTCAGGGGGTGTATTTGTAATTTACCCTTGTTTTAATTCACATAATAATTATGTCTTTTTTAATTAGTAATTTATTAATTATATAAATTAAGAAAATGATATTGCCATATATTTCTTACTAAAGTGTATATTTATTTTTGTTTATTTTAGTATTGACCCATTATCTGTATTAACTTTAATTATTTTAATCTAACTAAAAAAAAGTAAATAATTATGTTAAAATATGGGATTAACTATCTTTTGTCCAAACCTCATGGAGGTTATTGTAATTTATTTTATTTTTTAATATTGCATATGCTATTAGTACGGAATTCACGTGTTTCATATAACAATACAATCACCATTTCTTGTCCTTTGGTTGACCTGGATAGATCTCAACGACCCCTTATTTTTAAAAATAAAAATAAAAATAAAAATAAAAATGAAAAACAAAATAGATAGCTCTGGAAATCCTCCACCATATCCTATGTAACTTATCACAAAATATATAATTTTATTACAAAACTATGTAATATTAATTATAAAATACGTAATCTCGTTATGTATTAACATAATAAAAATATTGTAACTAAGTATAAAATTTTATAACATTAACCACAAAATCACAAATTTTTGCAAGATCAATTACAAAATTTTAGAAATTTTTGTTACTCCAGTTTGTAGTGAGATTACACATTTTATGGTTCATATATTACAAAATTTTATTATAAAATTATACATTTTTATGATAGGTTACAGATAATGTGCACCCCTAAAGGTGCGCACAGGAGAATTTCCCCTCACTGTACAAAGCTAGTGTGAGAGGTGAATAAATACAGGCGAGAATCATTCTTTATTGAAATTACAAGACTATTTTGAGAATACATTTGGAGCTCTCTTTTAGCTGAGAATATATTTGTGTAGAATTGTTCTGTCTTGCCCTAGGCATTCACCAATATCATAATATTTATGTATATATTTATGGACAACAACTCTTCAAAAACTAATCTAGAGCTGGGTTTCCCAGGAAATCTTGGTTTGCACCCTTCACTCCACTGCTTGTGAGGATGTCTTATTTATTTACAATTTTTATCACTTCCTATCCATTAATTTATTCATCCATGTGGGGTTTTGCAATACAATTGAATAATGATTCTCCAAGTTGTTTGTTTTTTAATATATATATATATCCATATACATGTGCCTATATATGTGTCTATATAAACATTAATATGATTACAATAAAATATTGGGACTTAGATTATTCCCATGTAAACTTGTTCTAGTTCCCCATGTAAGTTTGTTCTTGTATGCTGGATTTCAGATTCAAATTATTCTATGAATTCAATTTTTTTGTTTTATGCTGTTAAATCTCCCTACATTATTTGGGTTTTCTTTATTTTATTTTATTTTGTTTTGAGGACTTGGGTTCTGAGAGTTTGGGACCCACTTTGTGTGGTAATCTTGATCCTATATCTTCAAGTTCTGTATTGTAAGCTTCACTTGCTTGTTGCATGTGTTAACAGGAGTATCATTTCTTGAAAAATTCATGAAACAATGCTAATTTGAAATTGCTGAATAATCAGTTAGGCAATTGCTGGCTTGCATAGAAATGTAGACTGGTCTATTCATTAGGAGAACATTGATGGTGGTGTTATTTTGTATGTGGGTGCCTATGAAATTCATTGGTAGGACTGGAAATGCTAGTGTTTCTTCCTCAAAGCTGAGTGTAGTATTGGAGCTTTGTATACTGTCAATTCTGTTGTTGGACGATCAGCAAAGCCAGCAATTGAAGCTGCAGTTGATGATGTCAATTCTGATTCAACTGTTCTTGCTGGGATGAAATTGAATCTTATTTTGCATGACACGAATTGCAGCGTCTTCCTTGGAATTGTGGAAGGTAATCTCTGAATTTATACACTAGTATTGACAAAGAACTGTCTTTACTTGAGGCTACCAAAATAGAAAATGTTTTAAGGGATATACTTCTTTGCCTTGGTATAATAGGAGTTCGCTACTAATTATATTTTTTGTTGAGTATCAAGTTCTTTGTTGGATATAGAGTCTCAGTATGAGTTTCTTATAACTGCACTATTTTCTGAAGATTTATGCTTTTAACGCCATGTTCCTAGTCTTCTTAGAAGACTAGTTATAGAATTGCGACCAAACTACCAACTTTGTTGAACATATTTTAGTCTTGATCTATGGATGTTATCCTACTACACCAACCATTGATAAAGAAGTCTTTTGATGTCTTTGTTATTGTATTTTTTATGATAACTAGAATGCCAAGTTTGGCATAAGGGCATTTCCTGTTTGCTCTTGGTTTAGTTTGGTACTTCCAATTTTTTTCTCTTTGAGTGATATTTGTCCTTTGGGAACTTTATTTGTTATGTATTTGTAAGACATTTTCATTCCTGAAAGTTATGCCTAATGGTTCTTAGATATGACAATGAATAGTTGTGCTAATATTTGTATGAACATTGAATTATAAGCATGTATAAATAAAATGACACAGGGTGGTACCCTCAAGTACTGATCTAATTAGATGTTACTCCTGTGACAGGATAGTTGTTATCAAATCATCAACTGTTTTGGTATTAACAAGCGGAAACTACATCAGAAATAATTTATGTTTCCTTGATCACAGGCAACACTAATTAACCTACTCAGAGATGGGTAAAAAACAAAAAGCATTCTTGCACTTCACATCCAACATTATATTCAAGTGAAATTTATCAATAATGAATAAATTCTATGTGACCGACAGCTCCTTTCAATGAAAAAGAATGACAACTAAGCAAGAAAATTTGAACTAGCTTCTCTCTCTCTCTCTCTCTCTCTCTCTCTCTCTCAAGCATCAAAATAAGAAATGAGAAATTTTGATAAGTTGTCTTTAATTACTTATGTAGCTTTGCAGTTGATGGAGAATGATGTGGTTGCGGTAATTGGCCCTCAATCCTCTGGAATAGTACATGTTATTTCTCATGTTGTCAATGAACTTCGTGTGCCGCTCATGTCATTTGCGGCAACAGACCCAATGCTTTCGGCATTGCAGTTCCCTTACTTCCTCCGCACTACACACAATGACTATTTCCAGATGTATGCAATAGCTGATCTGATTGAATTTTATGGCTGAGGGAGGTAGTCACCATCTTTGTCAATAATCATTATAGAAGAAATGGGATTTCTGTATTAGGTGATGCCCTTGCAAAGAAGCATGCCAAGATTTCTTACAAGGCTGCCTTTACTCCTGGAACCTTTATAAATGACATCAATGACTTGTTAGTTAGAGTAAACATGATGGAATCTCGGGTTTATGTTGTTCATGTTAATACAGACTCTGGCTTGACAATTTTTTCTGTAGCAAAGTTGCTTCAGATGTTGACCGCCGGCTACATTTGGATTGCTACAGATTGGCTTCCTTCTGTGTTAGATTCGTCAGAATCAATTGATCCTAACACAATGAATCTCTTACAAGGGATTATTGCACTTCACCATCACACCCCAGATTTTGATCTCAAAAAGAGTTTTACATCTAGGTGGAAAAACTTCACATATAGGGAGACCTCGAGCTTCAATTCTTATGCACTCTATGCTTAGGATTCCATTTGGCTACTTGCCCGTGCACTTGATGTTTTCTTTAGTGAAGGAGGAAACATCTCGTTCTCCTACGACCCTAGGTTGCACGACATTAATGGAAGCACACTGCACTTGACAAGACTTCGTACTTTTCAAGAAGGCCAAAAACTGCTCCAGATACTTCCGGGAATGAACTTCGCAGGTCTAACTGGTCAGATTCAATTTGACTCAGAGAAGAATTTAATTCTTCCAGCATTTGATATTCTTAACATTAGTGGGAATGGGTCTCAGAGGATTAGTTACTTACTGGTCAAACTATTCTAGTCTTTCTGTTATTGCTCCTAAAATCTTGAACATGATGCCCTCAAACACTTCTACCAGTAACCAACATCTTGACCATGTAATATGGACTGGAGAAACTACAAAATAACCTTGGGGGTGGGTGTTCCCTAACAACAAAAAGCCTTTGCGAATTGCAGTGTCACGCCCCAATTTTTAATTATTTGAAAACATTACCAAAAGTCTTTAATTTAGGTTCATTTTTAAAATATATATATATATATATATCTATTACTCTTGAGTAATAGAAACATAATAATGTATGTTTTCCCTCATAATGAATACAACAATAATAATACATGCCAACTTCCACTGCGGAGTTACAAATGAATAATTACAAACATCAATGTGCAAAATTCATTTCCTTCACATCTACGATGAAATTATACATAAAAGACACATGAACTTCTTAACTCTCAACCAACAAATCCGAATTCTCTTCTTGTAAAAGAAAAAAATGAAACAAGGGATGAGCACAATTGCCCAATAGGAATTTCATAGTTCTACAACAATAACTAACACAGATAAAAATGATTATGCATGCAGGGTGATACCATATAATAGGTGACGTTTTGTAATTTCAAAATATTATATGTAGAGTACCTTTATCTCAAAATGTATTTGAACAATTAAAAAAAACTTTCAGTCAAAAAAATTATCCCTCATCATCAGAAAAACCATAAATCCTCTTTGAAAACAAATATGCTTAAGGAACAACATCATTTTAAATTTGTTAACCCGATTCCAAAGTATTCCTCGTTTCATTTCCATTTTCCTTTTTATTATTCACAATTATTCTAACCCCATAACCTCAAGGATTAAGTTCCCTTAATACTCCAAAATAACCCTCACACACTCCATTCCCACTTGTCTATCCATTATTGCTATAATTCCATAACGGAAAAAAATCCGAATCTCCTTTATATTCAAAACAATTCTCCTACAATCAACTCTTACTTGTATAACAACTACATCACATCAACTTTTGCACTCTCAAATTATAATTCAACACAACACAAGATTAATATATACCTTTCAATTCAATTTCTCAATTATTTACAAACAAAACTCATAATCTTCCCTTATAGTTACATACAACCCGGTTAGTTCGTTATCATTATTCCCTTATCTAGTTACTATTTCATTATCCATTCTTTCCAAATAATTTCTATGTGCATTCACTTTTCATACCAAAGTACACATCAAATTGTAATTTCATAAATTCATCACAAGTCACACATTATCCCCAACTTAACACATTTCTCAACACATTCCACCTTTTGCCGACTTGATACGGCGGGATAGTGGGCACTCAACTCATAAACACCTTCCATCTTTTGCCGACTTGATACAGCGGGATAACAGGCACCCAATTCATAACACTTTCCACTTTTTGCCGACTATTATATGGCGGGGAATAAACTCCCAAAAACCATTTCCTCAAAAACCATATTTTTCCAAAAAATCATGTTTTTCAAAAATCATGTTTTTCCACATTTACCGACTATCATATGGCAGGATGTGGACCCCCAAAAATATTGTCAACTTTAAAACCATTCCCACATTTGCCGACTATTCTACGGCAGGGAGTGGTCACCCAAAAACATTTTCAAAACCATCTGTTTTTCCATTTTTGTCGGCTACAATACGGCAAGACTTTGTGGGTTATACGGCAGGACTTTGTGGATACCCAAAAATTATTTTTTCACTTTTGCCGATTTCAATACGATAGGACTTTGTGGACACCCAAAAATCATTTTCCCATATTCATCTAGCAATAAGCCTAGACAGAGTAATTGGGCGCCTTGAATTCAAAATCACCCCCACATTTACCGGCTCTTATACGGACAGACATGGGCACCGAAAGACATTTTCCTCCTTTCCTTTTTGACTCCCCTCGCGGGTACCAATTACAACACAACGCAACTCAACACAACTCAACTCAACTCAACCCAACTCAACTCCACACAACACAACTCAACCAAACTCAACACAGCATAACCCAACTCAACACAACATAATTTAACATAACCCAATACCATTCAACATAACACAATAAAAATTTTAATTATTCACTTCATCATTTTATCATAAATCTCATATCATCCATACCATTAACAATTTATTTACCCAAGTTTGGTTTCATATTATGACATAGTTTAAAAGATCAACAATAAGGGTTCAATCGCAACTTTTACATAAATTTCGAAACACTTCCAAAATTCAATTAAATTTATAGATGTGCAATTTAACACCTCAATTTCAAGATTCTACTTTCACTTTAAGCAAAACCATTAATTATCTTCATGAGCCAAACTAGGGTTTTTAAGAGAAATTAAAGTCTTTCCCAAAAACACTTTTTATTCCAACTCTTTTATTAATTATACACCCAAAATCATAACCTAACACTTCAAACCCTAAACCCCCAAGTCTTATGATTTGTCACAATATGCTTAAAAATGTAAATTTTGTGTTTATATAAAGAAAATACCACAAATCTATCTATAAATGAGAGTATTGAAGGAGAACTAGAAACCTCTACCTCTTGAAGCGAAGAGAAGACAATTCAAAAATCACCGGCGACGAAACCACGAACTATTCGGACCAAAAGGAAGCCCTTGACAAGACCTATAATCTGTTGCCACGGACCAAAGTGAAAGGATCACTCTAGGTGAGTAGATCTAAAGATATAAGTGAAAATGTTTGAGTTTACAGAGACAGAAGAGAAACTCACGATGTAGAGAGAGAAAAGAGGAGGAAAAGTTAAATGAATAAGTGTTTGGAGCCTATTTATAGTAGCAAAGTAATAATAGAACAATAGCCCCAAAGTCAAATGAAAAGAACAAGTTAAAAACCCCCAAAAAGTAGGGCCCAAACCGATCCAAAAATCTGAAAATTACACACGGGTTGACCCTTCAGACTAAGGTGTTGACCCTTCAGAAAGAAAAGCAGTGACACTAATGTGTGCAATAGGCAAGGGTCGACCCTTGGAACCCCTGGTGTCGACCCTAAATTTTAGTAGCCAATTCCAGATTCAGCAATAGACAAGGATCGACCTTTCCCAGATCGGTGTCGACCCTTGAGGCCAACAACAAAAGGCAAGTGTCGACACCACCAAGATTTGGTGTCGACCCCAAGACAAGATTTCTAAGTTCCTAAACAACTTTTCAACGTAAACAAGCGTGAACGAACAATCCCAACAAGTTTAAATTGATTTGTACTCCTCCAAAACCAAGATACAATAACACCAAAGATTACCAAAATAAAATAAAGGATTCAAATACACTTCCCAAAAACTTTAAAGGGTACAAGTGCTACAACCTTCCCACCTTGGGAAATTTCGCCCCTGAAATTGAAGAAGGCCAAACAAAAGGTAGCATGAACACAATTTGGAGCACAACCTTTAACCTAAAACTAGATCCACGCTTGGGATAGATTCCTAGATTTTGATTCAATATCTCAGTGCCCCAAGGACACCCAAATAAGAAGAATTACAAGGAAGAGATCATGATTACTCTTTCGACCCACATTCTTTCTCAAGAACCACTTCTAGCATTTAACAATCAAGTTTCCTTCATACTCATGAACTCTATACAAGCCTTAATCATATCACTCAATACTTAAATACCACAAACCCCCTTTCTTACCCTCATCATTATGAAACACAATTCTTACATTTCCCTTCCAAACCTTTCACAATATTCTACATAACTCAAACTAGCCTCACACCATCCTAAGATTTTGCCTCATCTCAACTATACTCTTTTACAGCTCTTATTATCTCAATAACATCTAACATCAATCGGCCGAACTCTAACCCTTCCCTGAGACACTTACTCTTCCTGCCAAAACAAGAAACTAACCTAACATATAATCACACAGCACATAAATAAATTTTAAGCAACAAACCACATAATCGAATCAAGTCTACATGGATAACCACTTGTTCCGAAACTTCCAAGGAACTCCCACTAGAAACCACGTTGATTAGACGCGTTTCCAATGAGATTTCAAAGCAAGTTAGCTGGCTACAAGCACTATCCAAGAAGCTCAACTCATGCTCACACAATGCAACACATAGTGTCCTACACCTCCTATTTCCTACATGCAAATGTACTCACCAAGGGAAGCCAACCCATTGTGGTAAAAACCACTTCCCACAAGCTCTAGGTTTTTGAAACCCGGTTAGCTCTAATACCAAGTTGTCACGCCCCAATTTTTAATTACTCGAAAACATTACCAAAAACCTTTAATTTAGGTCCATTTTTAAAAAAAAATATCTATTACTCTTGAGTAATAGAAACATAATAATGCATGTTCTCCCTCGTAATGAATACAACAATAATAATACATGCCAACTTCCACTGCAGAGCTACAAATGAATAATTACAAACGTCAATGTGCAAAATTCATTTCCTTCACATCTACAATGAAATTACACATAAAAGACACATGAACTTCTTAACTCCCAACCAATAAATCCGAATTCTCTTCCTGGAAAAGAAAAAAATGAAACAATAAGGGATGAGCACAATTGCCCAGTAGGAATTTCGTAGTGCTACATGCAGTGCCTAACCGAGTAAGTTATTTAGAATATGCAACCAAAGACAAGGGTTCCCTTGGGGTGAAAGGATACTCTATTGATGTCTTTGAAGCTGCAGTAAAATTGTTGCCCTACGTTG